CGTTAACCTACCCTGATAATCGTAGCCCTGGTAGCGTTAACCCTACCCTGATAATCGTAGCCCTGGTAGCGTTAACCCTACCCGATCATCGTTAGCCTGGTAGTGTTAGTTCTACCCTGATCATCGTTAGCCTGGTAGTGTTAACCCTACCCTGATCATCGTTAGCCTGGTAGTGTTAGTTCTACCCTGATCATCGTTAGCCTGGTAGTGTTAGTTCTACCCTGATCATCGTTAGCCTGGTAGTGTTAACCCTACCCTGATCATCGTTAGCCTGGTAGTGTTAGTTCTACCCTCGTCATCGTTGCTCTGGTAGCGTTAGTTCTACCCTGATCATCGTAGCCCTGGTAGTGTTAGTTCTACCCTCGTCATCGTTGCTCTGGTAGCGTTAGTTCTACCCTGATCATCGTAGCCCTGGTAGTGTTAGTTCTACCCTGATCATCGTTGCCCTGGTAGTGTTAGTGATATCCTAGATGCATTTCTGTGAGTAATGTTAACCTGGGTAAGGATACCCTGGTTGCGTCAGCCCTACTCTGGTCATGACTGCACTGTCCTGGTAGCGTCAGTGTGACCATGGTAGCGTCAACATTACCCTGGTTGTAACAGCGCTACCCTACTATTATCAACGTCACCCTACTGTTGGGTTGCCCTTAATTGTTCTAGCTCCAAGAAACGGTCATACATCAAGAGATCCTAACACTAACCATAACCCTAACCCTAACCATAACCATAACATCAATTTGTATATTGACGTTAGTCACACAACTTGGTCGGACTACCTAGTTCCTTCGATGCTGTTCTGTTAGTGTTTATGCTACCCTGGAGGCACCGACGCTACATTGATAAAATCCGACCTCTGTGTGATACGTACTTGTCTCTCTTCGTCACCAGGGGGACACACTGTGCAGGCAATGCTTCTACAGAGTGTTTGAGTTGGAGGTGCATAAGACAATCACAGATGCGAAGCTCTTCAGGCGCGGCGAGTCGGTGGCGGTGGCGGCCTCCGGTGGCAAAGGTAGGCGAAATCCATGAGGGAAACTTGATGCTAGTTAAGCATTCAAACATAAATATAGTTAAACATGAAAATTAACATGAAAGTCGAAAAAAGTAAATAAAATAAAAAGTTACAATATAAAGTATTAAAGTATTAAAAGTGTAAAAGTTAAAAGTGTATGAAAGTATGAAAAGTATGTATGAAATGTATATGAAGTATGAAAAGTATGAAAAAGTGTAAAAGTTACATATAAGTATAAAAAAAAAAAATATATATAACACTTGTTTCGCTGGGAAATGCGACGCTCTCCACGTTGCGCAGATTCGACGGTGCTCGCGCACGTCATGAAGCTGCTGAACGAGCGACACGACTACGGACTCACTCTCACGCTGCTCTCCGTCGACGAGGGAATCACGGGATACCGGGACGACTCCCTGGAGGTATAACCACCGTTCCCCTGCGAGCTGTGGAATCTCTTTTTTCCAACCTCACTCCGACCTTGCTCTGACCTCACTCTGACCTCACTCTGAGCTCACTCTGACCTTGCTCTGACCTTGCTGTGACCTTGCTCCGACCTTGCTCCGACCTCACTCTGACCTTGCTCTGACCTTGCTCTGATTTTTCTCTGACCTTGCGCTGACCTTGCTGTGACCTTGTTATGACCTCACTCTGGCCTCGCTGTGACCTTGCTCTGACCTTGCTATGACCTTACTATCAGATCACTCTGAGTCTGACTTCGCTCTGATTTTGCTGTGAACCCACTATGACCTCCCTCTGACCTCACTCATACATTGCTGTGACCTTGCTTTGACCTCAACATGACCTCGCCATGACCTGGCTATGACCTGGCTATGGCCTCACTCCAAACTCGCTCTGACCTTACCATGACCTTGCTATGCTCGCTCAATCTATTCTTTCATCGACTAGATGCGTCTGGTTGTTGCTGTAGTTGTCACCTTTGTCGTCACCTTGGATGTTGCGAGAGTCGTGACCTCTGCTCTGACCTTGACCTTGACGTTGCAGACTGTGAAGAGGAACCAGCAGCAGTACGACCTTCCGCTGAAGGTCGTCTCCTACGCCGACCTCTACAATGGATGGACGATGGATGAAATCGTCAAACAGATCGGCCGCAAGAACAACTGTGAGCACGGCGCGGTCGTCACGCCGATACGATCGTCATGGCGATGAGGTTGTCATGGCAATGCGGTTGCCATGGCGATGCAGTCAGCGCAGCAACATGAACCTTCGACTAACAGGGTTGTCACAGTGTTATGGTTGT